CATCTGCAGCTTTTAAAATCCAACATTCTTTAAAAAATATTTATCTTTATTATGTGTATGAGTGTTTTGTATGTAGGTACCTACAGAGGCCAGAAAAGGGCATCGGATCTCCTGATACTAGAGTTACAGCTGGTTGTTAGCTGTCATGAAGGTGCTTTGAATTGAACCTGGGTCCTCTGCAAGAGCAGCCAGTGCTCTTAACTGCTGTACCATCTCCAGCCCCAAACATTCTTTTCTATTTTTCTCCTCCCTCCCTCCCTCCCTCCCTCCCTCCCTTCTTTCCATTCTTTTTTTTCTTGATCTCCCTATAGCCCCAGCTAGCCTGGAACTTGCTATGTAGACCAGGCTGGCCTTGAACTCACAGAGATCCACCTGCCTGAGTGCTGGAACTTTAAAAGCATGTGCTATGGCACCTGATGATCAAAAGTTTTAACATAAACGCCACAAAGATAAACATAATTTCATACATGCTGAGGAATAATAGTAGGAATTTATTAAAAGTCCACTTTCTCTAATCAAGCCATTAGGTTTTTATAAGAGCAGAAAACTCTGTATGTACAGTCAAAACATGGCACTTCATAACAGAATGCGAGATGAGGTGTTTCAGGAAGCGTTTTGGTGTTGAACAGTGCTCAGTGCACATGTTCTGCATTCAGAACCAAGGCTGGAATGAAGTCACACAAGGCAACATGGATGAGCACTGCCAGAAACATCTCAGAATCATTATGCATTGATTTTGAATGAATCTTTGTTGAATGTTTAGAAGCCTGTCTTAGTGCCGGAGAGATGCCTCAGTAGGTAGAGTGCTTGTTGCACAAGCATGAGGATCTAAGTTCAGATCCCTAGCACTCATGTAAAAACTGGATGTGACCGTACACCTGAAACTCCAGCACAGGGGAAGTGGGTGAAGGATTGGAAGGGGGGAGAGACAGGAGGATCCTGGGGACTTGCTGGCCAACCAGTCTAACTGAAATGGCAAGCTTTAAGTTCAGTGAAGACACTCTTGGCCAGCGGGAAGACTCGGTGAATAGATGAATGGAGGTACTTGCCACCAAGCCTTATGACCTGAATTTGATCCCTGTTACCTACACAGTGGAAAGGGAGCACCAACTCCTGCAAGTTGTCTTCTGACCTCCACATGTATAGTCTCCCCCCCCTCACTCTCTCTCTCTCTCTGTAATAAAATAGAATTTTGAAAAAGAGACCCTGTCTCAAAAACTAAAGATGATGGAGAGCAATAGAGGAAAACACTGGAAGTTGACCTCTGACCTCCACATGTGCACACAACACACTAAAAAAAGCCTTACAGGGTGTGCGGTGGATTAAAACATTAGAATTCCTTGCCATAAACCAAGTTTTACAGGATTTGAAAGAAAAGACTAATACCTAATGCTTCTTATATTCACTGCTGGTGGGATTGCATACAGCCTCTATGGAAATCATTGGCATATACTCAAAGGACATGATATCCTACTACAGAGATCCTTGCTTACCCATGTTTATTGCTTTTTTTCACAATAGTTAGGAAATGGAAACAACCTAAATGCCCCCAACTGATGAATGGATAATGAAAATATGATACATTTATACAATGTATTCAGCTGTAAAGAAAAACTAAATCATGAACTTTGCAGGCAAATGGATGGAACTGGAAACTGTAAGACTGAGTAAGGTAACCCAGACTCAGAAAAACAAAACACGTGTTCTCTCTCACATCTTTAGATGTGAGTATATATCCTGAAGTAATTGCAGGAGCCAACAAAGTAGAAGAGGACTATGGGGGAGAGGGGAAGAAAGAGCTCAAGAGATGAGGTACTAAGACACAGGCATCATCAAAGGGGGAAATGGGAAAAATGGGGTAGTACTTCGAGGAGGGAGGAGAGAGGGCTATACAGTGGGGGAGAGAGGAAAGAAAGATAATGCTTAGGTGTGTGGAAAAACCATAGGGAGTCAGGCATGGTGGTGCATGCCTTTAATCCCAGCACTTGGGAGGCAGAGGCAGGCTCTAGATCTCTGTAAGTTCAAGTCCAGCCTGGTCTACATAGTGAGTTCCAGGCAGTTGTGGCGACAGGGAGACCCTGTCTCAAAAAGACCAAAAAAACAAAAAAAAAAAAACAAAAAAAACCCCCAAAAATTTAAGTTAACTTATTTTGTTTGTGTATGAGTGTTCTGCTTGCATGTAAGTGCACTGTGCAGTGCAATACCTGCAGAGGCCAGAAGGTGGCATCATATCCCCTGGAACTGGAGTTACAGGTGGTTGTTAGCTGCCATGTGGATGCTGGGAACTGAACCTGGGTCCTCTGCAAGAGCAGCCTGGGCTCTTAATTGCTGAGCCAACTCTCCAGCCCTGTTTGGCCTTCTATTGAGTCAATCACTATCCTTGAGTCAATCACTAGTCCTATGGGTATGAGTGTTTGCTTCCATATATGTATGTGCACCACATACATGCAGGGCCAACAGAGAAAGAGGGCATCAAACCCCCTGGAACTTGAGGTACAGTTGTGAGCTGCCATGTGGTGCTAGAAACCAAGTGCAGCAAGTACTCAACTGCTGAGCCATCTCTCTAGCTCCTGAAATTAATTTTTGTATGCAACATCATATATACATAGAGATCCAAAATATCTAGAGAGATCCATATATAGAGAGTGATCCAATCTTATCTTTCCATGTAACAGCTCTTCTCCCAGTACTGTACATTCACTGATGATTCCTTTATTTGAAATCCTGCTTATATGCAGCTATCTCTGTTGTGTATCAAATTTCTATCTACACATGGACCTTTTTAATAAAATATAGTAATAAATCTAGTCTAAGACCTTAAAGGTGAGTTACTCCCAAGACACATGAAACATGCTTGTTAAGGTATAACTCACTTGGGGATTATTCAAGTTTAGTAAATTGATGGTTCTTAGGACAATTTTACTGCAGAGGTGGGTATGCACTTAGCATAGAGACTGCTAACAATTTTCCTGAATCCCCCAAAATAGTATAAGGCATTTTTACTATTGTCTTGCAGCCATACAGAATCCCATTTGTATTTTTATTATATAGCAGGATAATTTAGACTTTAAATTTGTATATGAAGGAACTTATAAACTATGACTTCTAGAGACATGAGAACTTAAGATATGGGAAAATATGACTAGAATACAAAGGGGGATGTGATAAAAAGAATGAAAATGTCCTTCCTATGCTCGACAAGGAGTCGATGGGGGAGTTATTTACCCCTCCCACCCAATCAGTGGACCTTAGCTGCATGTGGGGGAGGGGCTAAGGATATATAAGCTGAGATACCATGAGGCACCTCTCGCCGTTTTTTGCCCGCTGTCAGGAAGTCACAGGATCTATATTTGAGTGTGGAATTTCCAGCACAGCTGTAAATGGGGGTGACTCCCACTCTGTAAATAAACTCCCATTGTATGTGCGTATGCGCTCTTAGCAAGTTCAATAAACTCGTAAACTCGTTAGGATTTTCAGAGAGAGGGGGGGGGAGAGAGAGAGAGAGAGAGAGAGAGAGAGA